TAGTACCGGGGACCGGGGAGATGGCTCAGGGGAATAAGTGCTTCCCTGGCAAGCACAAGGGCCTGAGTTCAATCCCCAGTTCTGGGAGAAAAAAAAAAAAAGGACCTATATAACAATCCCTAGTACAAAAGAAAAAAAAAATTATGATTCAACCACAAATTTTTCATAGATAAAAAAGTCTAAAAAAATTACTAGCAATCTTATCCTATGGCAGTTTTTTTAAAAATCCGTATTAATCTAATCTATGCCAAAAATTCAAATATTAGTGAGAGTCTACTATGTAACAGTATATTGATAGATCGAATGTGAAAAATCATATGATCATCTCTATAACTACAGAGACTAGACAGCATTAGATAATATTCAGCTCTCAGATATGATTTCTGAGAAAATTCTTAGCAAATTAGGAATAAATGGTTTATTTAATATTAAAAAGTATCCCAAAATCTGCACACATTCTACTAAATGGTGACCTTTAAAGGTTTTACAATATGCCCTAGAAATCCCAGCCAATGCAATAAGGAAAGGGAATGCCAGAATTGGAGGAAAACACAAAATTATCTTTATTTATAGAAGTTATAATTGTTGGCAAAAGAGAAACTATAATGGAACCAGTAAGCACTCAGTCAGGTTACTAAATCCAATAATCATAATAAAATCATTGGCATTTCTAGCACTATCCTGAAACTAAAAAGTACCTAGAAATAATTCAACAGAAATTATTTTGAGGGCCAGCCACATAGCTCAGTGGATCAAGACGCTGGCAAGTAGGTACAGGGGCGGGGGGCCGGGGGCCGGGGGCCGGGGCGCACTGAGAGGGCGATTGAGACTGGGCGTGGTGGCGCGGGCCTGTAATCCCATCACTTAGGAGGCTGTATACAGGAGAATCACTACGAGTCTGAGCTAGTAGTGAGACCCTAAACACCCTGTAGACCCTTCCCTAAAATACACACCCAAAAAAAGAAATTATCTTAAGATCTTCAAAGAGAAATTTTAAAAGTTACTGAAATACACCATGCTTGTGTCTAGAAAGGCTCAAGCTCAAAGATGTTAATTATCTTCAATTTAGTATATTAATTCAGAGTAATTCCAGCCCAAATCTTAATATTTTTTTCTATGATTTTTTAACAATTTGATCTGAAAATTCAGACAGAAGAGCGGAAGGCCCAGATATCGGAAGGTGTGGGAGGGCGAGGTCGGGGACTTACTGCACGGACGCCCCGGGTCCTGAAGCCAGGCTCATGGAGTCAGCGCCAGGCGAGCAGCGGGGGGCAGAGCTGGGCAGAAGGGCGCCCAAGGCCGAGGGGCTGCCTCCTCTCTGCCTCGCTGGATCCTCGCTCCCAGTCCACAAAGCAAGAGTGCCCTTTGATTTCCATGAGGGGCAGGGAGGGTAGGAAAATCACTGGAAAGTTTTCCAAGGATTTTAGGGTAATTAAAAGAAAACTAGGCCCCTTCCCTATTACTTCTGAAAAGAAACTCTAAATAAACAACAGTAAATGATAGATCACCAGCTTTTTGGAAGAAAATATGAGATGCTACCTTTATGATCTTGGAAGAGGAAATTACTTCTTTTAAAAGGTACAAAAAAAGACAAAAAATAAAGAAAAATATGCCAGATTGGCAGCATTCGGATCTTAAACTTCTGTTTACACCTTAAACACAGTCAAAACATAAAAGCAACTGGAAGGGGGAAGGTGTTTTGCAACACATATACCTACTAAAGGATTAAAATTCAGAATACATAATAAACCTCTCTAAACAGATTTTTTTAAAGGCAGTACAAAAAGGAGGAAAGACCACAAATGCGCAGCTCACACAAAAGAAAGTTCAGCCTGGCGAGGAGGCACACAGCTGTAATCCCAGCGCTCAGGAGGCTGATGCAGGAGGATGGCTGCACGTTCAAGGCCAGCCTGGGCTACATAGCGAAACCTTGTCTTAAAAAAAAAAAAAAAAAAAAGAGGAAGTTCAAGAGAACAGCAGTCCCACAGAAAGATGCGCACCTTGGCAAGAATGAAGGCAGCGCAGTTGCAGTAGCGACCTCTCACACCCTTCAGGCTAAAAAGCATTTAATTCTGTACAGTGCCAGAAAAGGCATAGGACGTTTTGCTGAGCATTCGGCGCTGCCTTGTAAGATTAAAGATGCAGATGCCCCTAATACCTGTGGACACCACTTGCAGAGGACAGGTACAAACGTACTCACTGCAGAAAATTTCAAACAGTGAAAACTCGCCCGGGATGGAGCTTCCCCAGCAGGGGAGTGCTGAGACAGACGCAGTCCATTCAAACAGCGCTCACGCAAGAAGAGCCACGTGGTCCACACGGGTGGGCCTCAGAATGCAGCCTGCCACAAACAAGCCCCAGAGTTCTGTCTCAATCTTACAGCTTAACATCAAAACATTCCCAGGCCCATAAATGTATGCAGTGAGTAAATAAAGTCCTGCGAAGGACATGCCTGGGAGTGGCTGCTCGGGTGGCAGAGTAGCGGCAGAGAGGCAGGCGGCACAGACGGCGGAAGAGGCGGGCATGGGGCTTCATCTTTTTCTTCAGTTAGTGAAAGCTGGCTTAAATGTAGTAAAACGTTAAGATATTAGAAAGCTAGGTGATAAGCACACTAGGGTTCAGTGAAAAAATATTTCATATGTGTTTGAAAATTTTCACAGGAAAAAAGAAATTTCTAGGTTCTATAAAATGCTGGGTTGCCGCAGAACACCAAGCCAACTGGCTTTCTCCCAGAGCTTTTAGCCTGAGAGGCTCTGGTGCTCCCACACGCTCCTGAAGGTGACAAGCCCTGCGCCCAAGTGTGGCTGGACACTCCACCAGCCGAGCACGGGCGAACGGCCGAGCGGTCAGTACGTGCTCATTTGATTCGTGCATTTTATGAACGTTCATGGTGCCTCTCTAGGCGGTGCCCGGCCAGTTCTCGATGCCTGGTCCACACGAGTGGACAAGACAGAGGACAGTCCCTGTGGCTGAGGCAGTGGCCCACATCTGTAATCCAGCTCTCAGAGGCCTGAGGCAGAGGGATCACAAGTTTGAGCCCATCCTGGACAATTTAGGGTCTTAATGAAACCCTAAGCCAAAGGAAAAAATAAAAAAAGAAAGAAAGAATAAAAAAGAAAGAAGAAAGAAAGAAAGAAAGAAAGAAAGAAAGAAAGAAAGAAAGAAAGAAAGAAAGAAAATGAAATAGGGGCTGGAGATGCAGCTCAATGGGAAACGCCTTCCCCCGCCCCTCCCCCCTCCCTCCCTCTCTTTTCCTCCCTCCCTCTCTCTCCCTCCATCTCCCCGCCCATCTTTCCCTCTCCTCTCTCTGGTTTGCACCAGTCCTGTGGCCATCACACCCTGACATGAACTGTCTCTTGCTCAACAATCTTGACGTTGGATTCCTGCTTGCTAAGGCCACTGGGGCCTTTGGGAGGCCAGGCCTAAACTTTCGCATCCTATGTGCAGAACACACGCCAGACACAACAGTAGGCAGGGGCAGGAGCGCTGCGTGACTGAAGATTCACAGGCTGGCCCAGGGACTGATCAGAGCCATGAGCGAAGGTGCTCGGAGCCCAAAACAGCACTTTCCCAGAGTGCCAGCTCCGAGCCCAGCTCTGACGTTCTCCGACAGTGTAATCTTAAGCCCGCTTCTTTTCCTCATCAGATCTTTGTTTCTTTATCTATAAAACCAGAGGCTGTTAGATGATTTGTAGAGTGTCCACTTGTTTTAAAACTACCAGTACAATAGTGCAATTCCATTTTTCTCACTCAGCCAGGATTTCTCATTCTAGCTCTTTATTCCATGGTTGTCTCTTTCTATCCATGTTGACCTAGATCAAAATTGCAGTTAAAGAACTTCTTCATTAGGGACCCCTTTTATTTTTAAGCATTTGATACCCATCTTTGAACATACTTTGAAGAAAACTGTGGTTGGGTGGTTCCTGAAATAATGGTAAGTCCTTGGGCAGGTACTTCTCCTGCTGGCATTGTACAGTGTCCTCCTTCATAACAGTTGAGAAGCAATTGCAGGAGCAGCCTCGGTCCTGGTTCTACCATGTGATGACTTAGGACAGTTATTTTACCTCTCTAAGCTTTGACTCCCCTTTGAAAAAAAAAAAAAAAACACAACAGCATTACTCGCCTCCTGTGGCTGAGACGGGAATGGCCAGCAGTAGAACTGCAGCGGTTAACATGGTTGCTCAGAACAGACCCTCAATACATATCTGATTTTCTTTCGAACATTCAGAAGGGTTAGGGAGGAGAGGGAGGGAGGGAGGGCTGGGAAGGGGCCGTGAAAAGAAGTAAGATGTGTTATGTGCACGTCCCAACTGCAAACATGTACTCATAAAAAATAAAAAATTAGGGAGGACAGCCTGGAAGATTAGAATAAAATGCCCTCTACCCAGGATAGGTGTAGAGATTAATTAAGGGACATAAAGCTTGGGCCACAGACCTGGGCACACAGGAGAGGAGGACTGCCTGCTTCGCCTTTACGAAGGTCGGCCCCACCCTGAAATGAAGAGAGCTGCCTAGAGATGGGCGCTCTTTTGCGTCCAATACCTGTTCTAACAACTAGGTGAAGTCTCAGAAACACTGTGGGAAATAACTTGGCTATTGCAAATTTAGACTTGCGGTTTTGCTACCTGAATTCTGCAAGGCACAGTGGTAGATATCAGTGAACTACAAGCAGAATCCCTGCCACGGACGCAGTTGTAGGCAGCTGGGGACATTTCTTATGCATGGGGTGGGGGCGAATGTGTGACACAGTAAGCCCTGAGCAGCGTGCAGGGCTGAGGGGCGGGTGTGTGAGAGCGCAGTGGCCAGGAGAGTCGGTGCGGCGGCGCCCTGTCTCATGATGCCGCTGGGATGGAGGAGGGAACTGGCCCAGTGGCTGGGGACAGAAAAAAGCGAGGAGATGGCCTGGTGGGAAAACAAGCCTGACCATGTCTCGGGAAGGTGGGCAGACAGGAGCCCGCCTGCTGCCAGGCTGACTTGCCTACCCCACCTTCTCTCGCCAGGGTCTTTCCACCTCATCCACTTGATGTTCGACGATTACGTGCTATACCTGCTGGAGTCGCTGCACTGTCAGGAGCGGGCCAACGAGCTAATGCGAGCCATGAAGGGCGAGGGCGGCAGTGGTAAGCAGGCCTCAGGCAACTGACTGCTGCGACTGGGCTTGCAGCCGGTTATGGAGAGAAGGCAGGCCAGGAAGCCAGCAGGCTTTCTCCCCTGCAGAGTGGGTGTGTGCATTTCTGGGACTTGCCTTCAATGCCATAGTGGTGGGAAACCACCACGGGCTTCAAGCAGGCTGCTGCTGATGCGACACAGATGACGAAGTAGCTTTCGCTGTTCCAAGCCCTTTAAAGACAACCTGCCTCCACCCCAGGCTCTAACAGCTCGCCTTTTCTCTCCGCAGAAGTTCGAGAAGAGATCATCTTGACAGAGGCCACTGCCCCAACCCCTTCACCAGTGCCATCCTTTTCTCCTGCAAAGTCTGCCACCTCCGCAGAGGTGCCACCTCCCTCGTCCCCTGTCAGCAACCCATCCCCCGAGTATACCGGCCTCAGCACCACAGGTAATGAGAGCTCCCCCAGAGTTTGGGGTTGGGGAGGATGCTGAAGCCAAGAGCTTTCTGGGAGAACAGTCTTCCTCACAAGGGAGTGCCAAAGCTTCAGCATCCTGCTGGAGTCTTGGAGGACTTGCAGATATTGGTACGTCTTCCGCAGATTGTCTTCAAGTTAGCAGATGATGTATATGATAAAAGCTCCACTCCTACAGCTACACCAGTGAAATGCCAACAGTGATGTACAAGGTCACAGATGCACATACCCATTCTTTCCAAGAGGGAGGGCAGTCTGTATGAACCAAGAACTAAGGGGTAGCTTTGCCAAGGGGCGGGTAGGAAGCCGTATACAAAGCCATGCCCACGAGGTGAGGGAGCCGGGGGTTGTAAGCAGAGCTGCTGAGGACCAGAGCAAAGGGCGCCCTGCACGTGGCCACGTGGATGGGGGTGATGCTCCCCGCAGCCCACACAGCCAACAGGTGCGCAGAACTCTTGGGAAAGTCATTCGTAGCCAAGAACCCCTACCCTGGGTACATGTCCAAAAGAGCTGAAAGTGGAGACCCCGACAGATACCCATACATCGTGTCCGTAGCAGCGTTGTTGCAGTAGCCGAACAGTCAGAGGGACACAAGTGTCCACAGATGTGCGAGTGGCGAAGCAGGGCGCGGCGTGTGCACACGGCGGGACTGGCTTCAGCCCTACAAATAAACAGCACTGCCACACGTGCTTTAACACGAATGAACTTGGAAGTGAAATAAAGCAGACACAAAAGGACAAATATCCAGGGCTCCACTTGCACAAGGACCCCGAGGGGTCGAGCCCTGGAGGCGGGACTGTGAGCCCAGAGCTCCAGCTGGGGAGTGAGAGGAATTCTGGGAGTGGGCGGCAGGGATGGTTGCAAACACAGCAAGTGTGCTTGCTGCCCCTGAGGCGGACACTCAAGGTGGGTGGGATTTTATGTTGTATTTTACCACCAAAGCGTCAGGAGGAGCCCGGCCCCACCCAAGAGCAACTGTACACTAAGGAAAAGAAGAATTATACCCAAAAAGAGGAGACTGTGCCCATGAATAACTACAAATTTAAAAAGAAATACATAATAGTTGAAATAATTTCACCAGGTAGGCTGAACAGAAAATTCAATCTCACTGAAAGAAAATTACCAAATGGAGAGACCTGAGCTGAGGAGTTGTCTTGCTTACTTTTCTCTCATTGCTGGGACAAAATACCTGATGCCCAAAATTAAGGAAAGAAAGGTTTATTTAGCTTGCAGTGTGTGGTGGTTTCCGTCCAGACCCAGCTGGCTCTAAGGCAGGATGGCACGTGGCCCAGGACAGCAGTTCATGGTAGCTGGAAATAGTAAAAGCAGCAAGACAAAAAGAGAAGAGAAGGGCCACCAAATAGCTCAGTGGATTAAAGCACCTGCAAGCAGGCGCAGGGGCCAGGGGTTCAACCACGGGGCCTGCCATGCCAGCACTGCCCACGGGCTTGCTGAGATAGCGATTGAGACTGGGTTTGGTGTCACGCGCCTATAATCCCAGCACTTGAGAAACTGTAAACAGGAGAATCATTACAAGTCCAATCTAGTGGTGAGACCTGTAGACCCTTCCCTAAAATACAGAAAACCAAAAAAAGAGAAGAGAGAGAGCAAGCCCTTTCCCTTCCTTCTATGGCATGCAGGCTGCTGCCCAGGGCAGGGGTAGCACCCACACCCAGAACCCCAGCATCGGACCACGGATCAATCAGAAACTCTAGAAGCCCATCCCATGACTGCATTTAGGCACGAACCGTAACAGGAATTCCCAACAATGTGACACTGAGACAAAGAAATGTTAAGTATGAAAGAGCTGGTACATGCAGAAATTCCAGGATTTATTTAATAAGTGCTGCAGAGAAAGAACAGAAAGTGGAGAGGTGATGGCAGGCAGTTGCAGAGAATGAACTGGGCGACTCCCCAACTGAGAGCTTTCCGTGAGCTCCGTGCTGAGCAACTGCCAGGTGACACCTCCCCTCTAAACTCAGTGAAGGAAATTGAAGACAAGTCTTACTGACTTTCCAAAAGAAAACGCAAACTATCTTCAAAGGAGAGAAAATGAGACCAGTGTCAGACTTCTCATAAGCAACATTAGATTTGATTTCTAGAATAGTATTTTTTAAATGGAAAAAAAAAACCCTGCATTTAAACCTCGAATGGAGACCCCTGTTCGTATAGACATATACATGGCTAGATGTATGTGCATGTATGTATGTGCGCAGAGCATTTTCCCCGTAGGTCCTGTAATCTGCCCAGTCCTGTGGGGCTGCTGAGGGAAAGCGCCCTATTAACATACCGAGGCTTTGCCAGCAGGCAGGCAAGTGTGCACTTATTCTGCGGGCTCCACAGGAAGGAGAGGGGCTCCTGGTGTGGAGGATCAGAGGAGGCCTCAGAGAGGCGCCGGCTCTGTGGAGCAGAGGGTTAGGTAATCGCCAGTTCCCTCTTTTCCCATCTGGGGAGGAGACCTGGGAGTGCTGTCTCCTGTCCTCTGAGATTCCCTGGGACAGGCTAAGGTGGGCTTACAGGGGCCACAAGGTGTGAGGAGGTAAGAAGGAACAGGGGCCCTTTTGTGCTCACAGCTGTCCTGGCAGGGTGCTGGGTCACAGCACAGGCCCTGCTGATGTAGCCATTTGGAAGCTTGTGTTCGCTCATGATCTTCCATGCCCGGTGTGGTGGCTCTTGAAGCCTGACCCGCAGAACCCTGGCTAAGGCCCTACGCGGCCACCTTGCACCTTCTGGCTTGGAGTCTCTGGGTTGGAGCCAGAGCCTGCAGGTGACCCGGGTGCTCACCAGGTCTGCACCAGCAACAGAGGGAAGGAGGATGAGGGGGAGGGAGGAGGGACAAAAAGGGAAGAGGAGGAGGAGGAGGAGCAGCAGCAGCAAATCCACTCCCTTCAACCCCCATCAGCAAGGAGGCCTCGTGGCCCCCGAAGGGAGGCTGGGAAATGCAACCGGTGGGTACCCTGTTAGGGCAGGGAGCCGATCTAGGGGACACCTCCAGGTCTAGCTCTCTTAACACAAATCCATACAGGTGAGTCCTTCCCACGCCACCAGAGCTTCCTGGCCCAGGCCTTCCCAAGGCCTCAGGGACACCCAGGGTGACTCAGGCTGGCGACCTGCTCCACCTACTGCCCATGAGGCGTGTGTGGGTGAAGCTCAGGCCTCCAAGAAATTGGCTCACAGGGAGCCATAAAGAGCTCTCATTCTCCAAGTTTCTCCTTGCTGAGCAACACCTTCCTCCAGCCTCACTGAGAAAATCAGGCCCATCTCCTGCGACAGTTTTCTTGAGCCAAGTGCGGATTATCCTCCAGGCCTCGTAGCACGGGCTTGCCTACATCCCAGTTCTGTTTAGAGTCGGGCTATTCTCAGAATCCGCTGGGAACTAAATTTGGGGGGCAGTGAAGGCAGTCAGGCACCCATTCAGAGTGCTGGCTTTTCACTGCTCACGTGTTCCTCAGATGTCCACGCATTCATCCAGCAAACAGTTCTCAGTTCTTGAGCAGCTTCAGGTCTGAGCCTGATGGTTTTGGGTTGTTTTGTTTTGTTTTGTTTTGTTTTTGTGGAACCGGGAATTGAACTCAGACTCTTGCACTTGCCAGGGAAGCACTTACTCCACTGAGCCATTTCCCCGGCCCCTAGCCTCATGGTGTTGTCTGCACAGATGCCTCTACATAGTGGGTCGTAGCCTCCGCGGAGAAGGCTCAGGAAGAGAAATGGGAGAGAAAAGAAAGCTTTGCTCACTGAAAACAAAAAGGGAAGAGAATTTCAGCACTGCGTGCTCCTCTTCAGCCACCCAGGGACTGTTCCCAGCTTGGAATTATTGGGGTGACTTCTCTGGGGCCTGAGGCCTCGCTCAGGAAGGAGTGGGGATAGTCAGACCAGCCAGGAGTCCTGCCCCCGAATAATCCTTCCGAGCATCCCTGCCCACACAGGGAGACACACCTCAGCCTAGCAGTGGTGGCACCCTTCTGAGATAAACAGAAACCACGCACAAAAGCAGCCCTGCCTGGTAAGGCAGAGGCAACTGGGGGGACGCGTCCTCACAGCGCGGCCATGTGCTGAGCAAGGAAAGCCCAAGCAACGGCCGGAGGGAAGCGCATGCTGGAAAGGTTTCCATGCGCTCCTCCCGCTCCGCAGCCCGCCCGCGAGCCTGCCTTACGTTCTGCAGAGCGATTGGAAGCCCCACGCAAGGCAGGTGTGGCCTAGCCAAAGCCATGGGAACGCCATTATGCTCTTCAGAGATTTCTGTGCAATGTGTGCAGGAGTCATAAAAGTCGCTTCTTAGCAATGCAAATGTGAAACAGGTTCTCCTCAGATGATGGCAGGCTTTGAAGATTTTAGCACATTCCAGCTTTGTTCTCTGCTATCTCCAGGGGACATTAAAAATGTCATCTTGCATAAAACTATGCATAATATTTTTCTCAAGTACCACTATTGAAATATTCAATTGCTCAGTTAGGCTGGGCTTTGCCATGCAGTGGGTCAATCTTGGAGGTAACACATAATTTCCTAACAGCTTATATGGTTTCCTGATATATTCTACTTTAAAGCATATAGAATGCATCATGCATGCCAAAAACTAGAAAATTTATAATGCTAAGCTCCTTAAGTTTGGGAGCTTGTTCCTACTTTCGTTGAACAGTATTGTAAATTGGAAAATGATTATGTAAATCTTATAAATTTATCTGCCATGTTTGTTTTTTTAAAAGTTATCTCAGCATGTAGTTTTCTTTTGCTTTTCTTCTGTACTTGGTACAGGGTCTCACTATGCAGCTCAGACTCTTCGCCATTCTCCTGCTTTCAGCCTCCCCAGCGCTGGGAATACAGAGTGCACCACCATGCCTGGCCTCAGTGGCTGGCTCAGCGTGCCTGGGAGCGGGGCTGGCCCAGCATGTGGGGCTGGGGATCAAACTCTGGTCCCTGCACTTGCCTAAGCAGGCACTTAGTCTGCTGAGCTATCTCGCTGGGCCCAGCTTGTGGT